TGCATTTTCAGGTGTTAAACAGTTTTATTCATTTCCTTCACCTGTTTGCTTCTATTTTCCTGGATGTATTTAAGGGATTTATTAATTTCCTCTTTAAGGGCCTCTATCATCTTTATAAGATTGGATTTAAGGTAATTTTCCTGGGCTTCAGCTGTCTTAGAATATCCAAGGCATGTGTAGTAGGATAGCTGGGCTCTGTTGGTGCCCTATTGCCCTGGCTGTTTTTTTATTGTGTTTGTACCCTGCCCCTAGTCACCTGATTTGGGGGTTATTATAGGTTTAGGTGCTGGTTTCTGACTTTATCTTCGTTAGATGGATTTGGGGGGGGGGTGTTTTCCCCTTGGTTTCTGTATCCTCTCTAATCTTCTGGTCTGAGTGTCTTGGGGTTCTGGTGACCAGCCAGGTCACTTCAGGTCCAGTCAGGGGTCTCCACTAAGGTCTTTTTGCATCCTGCATGACCTCTAGGTTTTGGGGTGCATACATTGCTTGTGGCTGTTGGGTGGGTTTTTAGGAATATTAGCTGGTATGGGTGGTGTCTTACCTGGGATCCCTAGTGCCTGGATGGCATCTGGTAAAGCAGAAGTCTTCTGCCCAAGTTGTGACCCAGAATATAAAACCTAGGGGAATGGGGTTGTTGAGGGATGTTAGATGGGCTTTATGGAGTTTTGGTGGATGATGAGCTTACTTGGATTTCCTTTAATGGATCTGGCCTGTGGTAAAACAGAACCTTTCTTCCAGAGCTGTTGGCTGGAATATGGAGTCCAGTGGAAGGGGTGCAATTTTTTTTATTAGTATACACTATTCCACTTTAAGTTGTATAGAAGTAGGAACTCTCATAGCAAAATTTTGTATAAAAGATGAGCATACTTCAGAAGCATTCTGTGAGGATTGACGTACAGGACCAAAAAATTAGAATATGTGTAAATGAACACATACAGATATGGTATCCAAGCTAAAAGAGCAAAGTGACTGACATCCATTGCCATAATTCATTATTTTTACCTCCGGGATTAACTCAAGCCAAATGACTGACAATGTAAAAGAATGTAAATAGGACATATTTCACTTGCCTAAATGAGATGGGGCACTGTACATGAAGCATATTAGAAGTAGTATGTAGGGGTTGATGCTCTGTTCTAGAGAAGTAAAAGCGGGGGGCAGGTTCATGCATCAGCTTGTTTGTTTCCATCTGCAATAAAAACAGGCAGGCCAAAGTATGCACAAGTATGAGTAATAGACAAAGGATATCTGAGGGTTTTAACCAGATGTTTTAGTTCCTGTAGAAATGGAAGAATAACAGGTAGTATAGATTAAAATAAAGCAGTTTCTACTGCTGGAAATATTCTACAGCATAAGCAGAATCTGAAACAATATTTAAAATGTTTATTAATTAAATGTAATCCATGAGTCTAAAAAGCCAGTTCTACTTATTGACCTCAGCAAAAAGAAGTATTAATAGATTGATGAATATCTGGACTATGAATCCTTCCTAATTGATTATATGAGCCATGAATAAAATAAGTTTCTGCCTGTAGGAGGTTGGACAATTTTTGTGATCACAAATTTAGGCCATATCTTGCCAGCAGGATAATGATGTCCTCTATTTCCATACAAATCTGTAAATGATTTGAAAGTCCATTTAGTTGTTTAACACATCAAAGCATTGATTGTTACTTATGGGTAATAAACACAGCAACAATCAAATCTATATAATTGTTGATATTAAGTCATGCCCTGATTTACTAATTGAGCAAAAAGAGTAAGGAAAGCTTGTTAGTGTTTTCTTCCCCTTATCATATAAATAAGTCCATTCCAAAGGTTTATTCTTTTGTGCTATAGTAAGTGTATGAGACAATTTAGTGGGGAAAATAAGTTTAAAGGGAGTGAAGGATCCACATGACACATGAATGCCATGCTACCTCTACTTTCATAGTTTTAAATAGAATGGTTAATGCATCATTAGGCACTCCTAACAGAGGACATAGCCAATTAATATCTCCTACAAATTTCTGAAAGTCATTAAATGTTTTTAAGTTGTCTTGTGTAATGAATATTTTTGGTTTTGTGTGGTTCAATAGTTGTTCTAGTAACTAATTTTCCTAAATATTGCAGTGTCTGCTATTTGCACCATTTCAGTACAATGTCCATTGTGGCATATCCTAAGTCATGTCATATATGAACTGCAGCTCTTCCTTTTGGGGGTAGGCAAAGAGGATATCATCTATAAATTGAATGATATAAGGCTAAGGGAATGTATGTCTCACAGGCTCTAACACCTTCCCTAAATAGTATTGACACATAGTAGGGCAGTTTGTCATGCATTGAGGCAATAAAGTCTATTGATATTGGAGCAGAGGTTCTTTATGACTGACAAAGGAAACAAAAAAGGAAAACACGTTATCAGGATGAATAAGTATACTTTAAAAGCAATCTTTTAAATCCAAAACTATTGAAGGCTAACCTTTAGGAATATCTGTGGGAGTAAACCTGGCTGCAAACCTGCTACTGGCTAGTATTTTCTGGCCTTTAAAATGTAAATAAATCCATTCCAAAAGTTTATCTTCTTGTGCTATAATATCTGTAGGTAACAATTTAGTGGGGTAAATAAGTATGATTGAGGGCAACAAAGGATACACAAATGCATCTAGATTCTGATTCAAATATCTGTAGTTATTTTTTGCCTCTCAAGATGGTAAGGACAGTCAATGCCATCTCTCCTTCTAGAATTTAAATGGATTGGTTAGTGGAGCTAGAGTTTTCCTGCTTGGCCCACAGTCAGGACAAATCTCTGTCACACACCAGTCCCACAGCCACTCAGTAAACACAGAGACTTATATTGCTTACAAACTGTATGGCTGTGGCAGGTTTCTTGATAACTGTTCTTATATCTTAAATTAATCCATTTCTATAAATCTATACCTTGCCACATGGCTCGTGGCTTACCAGCATCTTCACATGCTGCTTGTCATGGCAGAAGCTGGCAGTGTCTCCTCCCACCTTCCTGTTCTCTCAATTCTCCTGTTAGTCCCACCTATACTTCCTGCCTGGCCACTGGCCAATCAGTGTTTTATTTATTGACCAATCAGAGCATTTGCCATACAGACCATCCCACAGCACTTCCCCTTTTCTTTTTTTTTTTTTTAAAAAAAAGGAAGGTTTTAACTTTTACACATCTCCAAAACCAGCTTGGTATATTTGGGAATTTGAGCGTAGCTTCTCTTACTACTTCCTGCGGGAGGGGGTGCTGTATCTTACGGGGACATAAAGAAAATTTTAGGACTATGGAGTAGTCCGTGAGGGTGTATCATCTGAGCCAGTTGCCTTGAATCTGATCTGGATGTTGAATTATCTGAGCCATGGTGTCACTGGAGACCTTTTAGGGGGTCTTGGCTGATCAAACTTGATGTATCTTAATCTGGTACAAATCCATAGCCTCTGGCTTTCTGTGGAAACAAAAGCAGAGCCTCCTTTCCAAAGCAACATATCCTTACATCCAAATTTTGAAGTCAAGGTACCTTTAAAATATACATTTTGGCATAACTCAACAGCTTTTGTAATCAAATGGTTTTTTTCAGTTATGAATATCAAAGAGAACATAATCCAGATTCTCTGTGTGGTAGCCATCTTTACGTGGCTTATTTTTTATATTACCTTGAGCCTATTGCTTTAAACTGTAGCATTCTAAGACTGAAACGGTGCTTTGGCTGCTGGCTCCGCCCACTTCAGCTTCCCAACATGGCAGTGGTACATTTTCTGCCAGCTCTAGGAGCCATCAACTCTCAGAAATAGTGGGTCTATGCTTCTATCAAAGCAGCATGTAGCCCAAAAACCTCTTTTTTTGTTTTGTACTAACAAAGGCTAAATCCACCACACAGCTTAATGTGCCACTTGCAGAGGCCTCATTCCTGCCATATTGCAGATCGAGCACACATGCCAGGAACCCATCATAGTAGATAGTAGCTCAAACACAAAGGCTGCCGCTAATTTAAAAGAGACAACTAGGAACTGTTTTTAGCTCCATTTTAGAATCTTTTTACTCAGGTTTTAGGTGGAAACTCTTGCCAACATGTTGGGCACCATTTGTAGCTAGAGTTTTCCTGCTTGGCCCACAGTCAGGACAAATCTCTGTCTACCACCAGTCCCACAGCCACTCAGACCCAACCAAGTAAACACAGAGACTTATATTGCTTACAAAATGTATGGCCATGGCAGGCTTCCTGACTGTTCTTATATCTTAAATTAATCCATTTCTATAAATCTATACCTTGCCACGTGGCTCGTGGCTTACTAGCGTCTTCACATGCTGCTTGTCATGGCAGAAGCTGGCAGTGTCTCCTCCCACCTTCCTGTTCTCTCAATTCTCCTTTCAGTTAGTTCCACCTATACTTCCTGCCTGGCCACTGGCCAGTGTTTTATTTATTGACCAATCAGAGCATTTGCCATACAGACCATCCCACAGCAGGTTAGTGCATAATTAGGTGTTAAAGGCTTTGATTTTGCTGAAGTTGCACTGGAAATACCAATCAAACATCATGAGTACAGGAATGAATATATAAATGGAGTCAAATTTTTAAAAGGCTCTTCTAAGTCAAAATGCAGAGAATTCAAGATTAGATAGATCAGTAAATTACTCACACCATACTTCATATAATTTTCAGAAAATGGAGGATATGTATTTAAAGGAGGCTCTAGAGAGGGAGCTGAGGGAGCTGTCTGTCCTCAGCACACATACAGGTGACACTATTTTTACTCGTGATTTTATCTTAACAAGGAAAATCACCTTTTTGCCTTTTATCAATTTTAAAATTTGATCATAAAGTCTATATTCATTCATGATAGTGAAAGAATCACTTGAGAGACAGAGGCAGGCAATCTCTGTGAATTTGAGGCCAGCCTGGTCTACAAAGTGAGTTCCAGGACAGTTAGCACTGTTACACAGATAAACCCTCTAAAAAAAAAGCCACAACCTTTCCTTTCTTATTCATTCACAAGCTCGCACATTAAAAACATAAATAACTTTAATAAATGTCCCACAATTTTTACAAATTCAAACATATTAAAAATTCTTTCAACTTGTAAAAAGTCAAAATTAAATATCTTCTCCCTTCAAGAAAGAAGCATGGTAGTCACCTGAAAAAAACAAAACCAACCTCTAACAGTATAAATAACTCAACATCCAAGGACTGGGACACACTCACAATCCTCAGGGCTTCTCCAAAGGGCTTGGGTCACTTCTCTGGCTACACCCTCTACAGTACACAAAATTTCTCTTCTAGGCTCTGACTGGTTCCACTTCACCACTGCTGATGGTCGTGGTGGACACCCCATAGTACTGGCATCTCCAAAATGATGGAGTTTTTGCCTGGTGTGCAAAAGTTCACCTCTTTTATTAGGCTCCTGAAATTTCTCTCTAGTATGTATTCTTTCATGATTTTGAAGATGACTGCTATGTACAAAAGTTTTACCACACTGATTACATCTGTAGGGTCTCTCTCCAGTATGATTTTTTTCATGTTTCTGAAGATAACCTTTCTGTGCAAAGGCTTTCCCGCATTGATTACATTTATAGGGTTTCTCTCCAGTATGATTTCTTTCATGCATTTGAAGATAACTGCGAGTTGAAAAGGCTTTACCACATTGACAACATTTATATGGTTTCTCTCCAGTATGACTTCTTTCATGTCTTTGAAGATTGCCATTACTTGCAAAGGCTTTACCACATTGATTACATTCATAGGGTTTCTCTCCAGTATGACATCTTTCATGTTGTTTAAGACTACTAGGATCTATAAAGGCTTTACCACATTGATGACATTCATAGGGTTTCTCTCCAGTATGACTTCTTTCATGTTGTTTAAGACTACTTGAACATGTAAAGGCTTTATCACATTGATTACATCCATAGGGTTTCTCTCCAGTATGATTTCTTTCATGACTGTGAAGATGACTTTTTTGAGCAAAGACTTTACCACACTGATTACATCCATAGGGTTTCTCTCCAGAATGACTTCTTTCATGCCTGTGAAGATGACTGTTATGTGCAAAGGCTTTACCACATTGACTACATTCATAAGGTTTTTCTCCAGCATGACTTCTTTCATGCCGGTGAAGATGACTTTTTCGTGCAAAGGCTTTACCACACTGATTACACCCATAGGGTTTCTCTCCAGAATGACTTCTTTCGTGCCTCTGAAGAAGACTGTTCTGTGAAAAGGCTTTGCCACATTGATTACATTCATAGGGTTTGTCTCCAGTATGAGTTCTTTCATGTATTTGACAATGACTAGGACGTGCAAAGGCTTTTCCACATTGATGACATTTATACTGTTTCTTTTTAGTATGAGTTCTGGGTACTTGAAGATGACTATAATATGCAAAGTCTTTATTGCCTTGATTATATTCATAAGGTTTTATTTTCAAAAGAGGTCTTTGGTGTAATTGTAAAGAGAAATCAGATCTAAATGATTTATCAAGTTGTTTACATTCATAGGTTTCTTCTTCATTATGTGATTTTTTGAGTGTTTGAAGATACTTATAATCATTAAAGACTTTAGTACATTGCTCACATTTATGGCATCCTTTTCCCGTATGAGTTTTTTCATCACTTTGAAGAGAGCTAGAAGAACTCAGAGCTTTAAGACATTGATTGCATTCATAAAGTTTCTCTCCAGTATGTGTTCTTTTATGTATTTGAAGATTACTATGATATGCAAAGGCTTTACCACATTGATTGCATTCATAAAATTTTCCTGTAGTATGAGTCACATTACATGTGCAACATGAACCAGGACGAACAGAAGAATTTCCGTATTCCTTGTACTCATGAGGCTTTTCTCCAGTGTAAGTATGTAGATGTATTCCCACTGCAGTTGGAAATCCAATTAATTGTACACTTGTATCACATTTACGAACTCTTCTCGTAGTGGGAACTACTATATATCTTCTAATTTTTCTGGGAGAAAGAGAGGTACATTGCTTCCTTCCATATCCCTTAGGATCACATGGCTTGTATCCTGAGTGACAGATGATATACCTATTAAAGGAACAATAACAAACCAAAGGCTTTCAGATTGCATTTGCATAGTTTAACTTTCTGTTTCTCATAAAGATATGGTGTAGAGGTTAAGTTCTCTCCACCACAACAACTTTCTTGACTCTCATAAACTGCCCCTCTCAATAAACTATGGTAAGTCACTAGAAGTATATGAGCAACACTAGCTTTACTATGGGCTATTTGCATATAAAATATCTTGGACATACCCTAATCCCCTAATCAATGTGAATGCCTTTACAATTAGTGCATTGAATAAAAGTAAATGGATGGATCTACATGTATCTCAGGGAGCTTTGATTAATATGGTATAATAGTAATATGGCATAATATTAATATGAAATCTGTTAAGGCATTGTTTCCTTGTCTTATTTTTCCTTGTCCTGTTTCTTAGAAGAATGTCTTGCCAACACAGATCAGCTACCTGAATTTGAGGTACATAATGCTTTAAGAATTTTATAATCATCACAAAGCTGTAATTATTTACACTGTTGCTTTTCATTAAATATCAGAGCACATTAAAATTTCAGAGACAGAAATGTATACATGAAAATTACCTTCTTTGAATGTGACCGCTGGAGAACTGACAGTCTGGGGGGGGCGGGGCACCCTCTGTGTCCAGGACCCACTGGCCCAACGCGGGCCTGAATTGGCAGTAGACACAAACTCTCAGGTCTGCGGGGGCCATATTCAATCAGGAGCCACTGACCCAACCCAGTGCTGAATCAGCAATGGACACAACACAGCTGAAGAAGGGCAGGGGATTCTAACCCTGGCCTGAAGTGGAAATCCAGCTAAGCACCCACCCCACACCATGTGGCCAGGATAGATAGAATGCAACCACAGGCACTACCAGGAGCCTGCCCAATGCTGGTACCAGGCGGTTGGGCACTATAATGATCTCCTTGTGATGAAAAAGCATGGCCCAGCCCTGTGCCATGGTGACCTGAGTGAGACAGGGAGACCCACATGCAGGCCTAGTGCTACCCACCCTGAGCTCTTAAGAGAAAACACTGGCCCACCTGGTACCTCACAGCACCAGCCAGAAGGCCACTATTAGAGTGAGCAGAGGTACAGTATGTTGTCTTATGGGAGAGAGATGGAGAAAGATGAAATGGTTCAAGTCCTGTAAATAGAAGCAAATCTGAAGATGAGAGAGGAGGAAAGCTGATCCCTTTATCAGCAGAAACACACAGGAAAGTGGGCCTTGTACTTTGGGCAGCACAGCAGAGATGACCCTGTTGATGAGACCACAGGTGAGCCAACCCTGAGGACAGGAGCATGGAAGATCTAGCTCCATCCCTCATCTACCACATACCAACATGGGCTGGGAATAGATGCACTTCCACACCCCCTCCCTATACTTCAATGCCTGGGGCAGATGGGCGAGCCGGCCCTATGGTCATAAGAGCAGGACAGCTGTCCCTGACCCCCACCAGCTGCAACACTCAGGAGTGCAGACTCTGTACATCACCAGGGCAGCAAAATTGAGCCAACACTGTTAGTGCATGTGTGGGAGAGCCAGCCCCCAAACTATTACCATGGGAGAGCTGTCGCCATTACTCATCTGTTTTGTGGTGACATTGGCAGTGGAGACATGCCCTCCGCCAAGCCCAGCAATGCCAGAGGCAAGTGGGAGAGATGACCCTGTGATCATAAGAGTGGGAGAACCATCCCTGACCCCCACCATCTGCAACATTATAGAGAGCAGGCCCTGTACCTTGCTGGGGCAGCACAATAGAGCCAAGCCTGTAAGCACAGTTTTGAGTGAGCAAGTCCCAAAATTGTGAGCAGGGGAGAGCTGTCCCCATTACCCATCTGTTCTATAGCAGCATGGATTGGGGAGAGCTACCCTTTCCTCCCTCCCCCCGCCCATCAACACCTGGGGCAGGTGGGAGAGCTGGCATTGTGGTCATAATAGCAGGAGAGCTGTCCCGGACCCCCCACCAGCTTCAACATTTGAGAGAGCAGGCCCTAAACTTTCCCAGGGCAGCAAAATAGAGCCAATATGGTTAGGACAGGTGTAGGTGAGCCAGCCCCGAAACTGTAACCATGGGAGAGATGTTCCCATTTCCCATCTGGCAGACCAACCCCACAGCTGCCTGTTCCCAGACCCAGCATTATGACTTCATCTGCCCAAAACATCGACCCATTTATGATCTGCTGGAGTACATGAAGGGACTTGAACCACAAACCCAAAGCTGCAGGATATAATACAGGGTGTCAGTGGGATGTCCAGAAGGAGTCCTAGAGAGGGCTCAGCATGGGATGTGTAGTGGAGACCAAGGGCCTCGAACTAGACCAATGACTCTTTGCAATGAACACTTGCAAGCAGAGATGTATGGACAAAGGGGTATACAACGTGACTTACTGGGTCTCACTGCAGCGTCTATGATGAGATTTTTAATTTTTTCCCTTTTTTAAATTTTCTCATATTTTCTTCCTTCTTTTTCTCTTCAAATTTTTTTAATTAGGGAGGCAAGCAGGGGTGAGGGCAGATTCAAAGGGATGGGGAATGAATGGGATCAAGATAAATGATGTGAAAAATACATAGAAGAAAGAAAGAAAGAAAGAAAGAAAGAAAGAAAGAAAGAAAGAAAGAAAGAAAGAAAGAAAGAAAGAAAATTACCTTCCATGTCTTCTAGAACTTTGACAATGTTCTTCAATATTCTGATCTTCCCATTTGTAGCCTAAAATATAGTACCAGAAATGTATGCTATATTATTATAAATTATGTAAAATTTAAGTTATTATCATCAATGAACCTTACAACCATGCCTGATTTATTCACCACACTGTTCCTCTTTTATAGCTGAAGTCACAATAGAACACAATAGAACTCCAAAAAAGACTTGTCTCAAGTAAAAAAGTAAAGGAAAACTCACATTCTTACCTATAGCAGTGAGGTTCTCACAGGTTTCCAGCATCACATCTTTGTAGAGACTCTTCTGGGAAGGATCCAGCAAAGCCCACTCTTCATGAGTAAAGTTCACATGCACATCCTTATAGGTAACTGCATCCTAAAATATACCATACACATAAGTAACAGAAACGGTGAGACTGAATGCATTGTAAATGTATACTTTATTGGGAATATATTTACATAATTCTTCACATTCAACAAATTTATTTCATATCATAGAATTTCAAATGCAATCACCAAGTCATTTTAAAGAAAACAGAAAAGGAGGACCATGACTCTCATTTCTAGGCCCTCTGAACAGTACATGGCATTACAAGAGAAATGTTGACTTACATATATAGAAAGATATGCAAACAGAGCAATAGTATTGAGAAAACATCAGCAAAATTGTATCCAAATTACTGACATCAAAAAAGGATGGACAAGATGGGCATGGTGGTGCACACCTTTAATCTCAAAACTCAGGAGGCCGAGACAAGTGAATCTCTGTCTTCCAGGCCAGCCTGATCTGTAGAGATTTCAATGTCATCCAAAGGTACATTTTGATACCCTATCTAAAACAAACAAAGAAAAAAAGAGAATACTCAGAGAGGCTCACACTAAATCCACCAATGACTCAAACATCCACTCCAGAAATGTGGAGTGTCTCATTTAAATTATAATGCTAATATGATATTCCTACAAAGAAATGCATGTTTAATAACCTACTCACTGACAGATTAAAAGGATTCTCAAAAATATTAGTGAAGTAATGGCTGATGCTAAAAAAAATGAAAGAAAACAAACAAAAAATGGTAGAGGATAAAAATGGATCAACAGTTAAGATCACCTATTGTTTTTGCAGAGGACCTGCATCCATCTCCAGTACTCACTTGGAGGTCCCAACAATTTGTAACTCCAGTTCAAGAGAATCCAGTGTTTTCTTCTGACTTCAATGAATACCAGGCACACACATAGTACACATGCATATATATAGAGGTAAAAGACTCACGCACACATTTCAAAAATTAAAACATGCATAAAGATATGGAGAAAGTTACCAATCTGCAATGCAATGATTCATAAGATTGGTATTAATGTCATGAATGTATGGCATTCTGGTGGAAAAATGATACTTTCTACCAAAGTTTAAAAGTAAAGAAGTGGGTAAAGCTCAACACATGAGCAAATGTTTCACATGTACAAAAATCTCATTCTATCAGCCATAAATTTAAAAATAAAAATATCAGGGCAGAAAAGTAGTAAAGAAAAGCAATTGCTCCTATTTTACCTTATATTATTTAGGGATGGAGCCTGTTATGGTGGTAATGGCATAGCTGCATGAGAAAGAAAGGGGATGCGCAGTTTCAACCACAGAAAGAAGACAAGTGTGGTCAGGGTATAAACACTCAACACCCAGCCCCAGAGACTAACATACTCTAGAAAGGCCCCTCATCCTAAAGGTACCACATGCACCCTGGTAAAACCCATAAACCAGAGACAAAGTCTCAAATACATCTTCTTACCTGGGAGAATTTTCATTCACCTAACACATTTTGACACAGCTCAAGATAGGTTCACACTCAACCCATAATGAAAAATGCATTTAGTCTAACCTCAAACATCCTCATATTCTGCACCAGTCCCAAAACTGTTAGAACGTACAAAGTTTATTCTGACACTCAAGGGAGTCTCTTAACTGTGATATCTTGTAAAAATTATATATATATATATATGTGTGTGTGTGTGTGTGTGTGTGTGTGTGTGTACACACACATACACAACACAAAGATACAGAATACACATTTCCTTTCCAAAGAAGGAAAGATTTGACCAATACAAGACTGAAACCCTGCAGAGCAAACACCAAACTCTGCAGGTCTGTGTCTGATACCTGAGGCTTCAGTTTCCATGGGCTTAGATGGCTCTTTCTCTTTGACACTTTTCACACATCTCTCTCTTGCTACTTTCACACCCTACATGCAGCTATTCATGGAAGGTGTCTCAAAGCTTGGGTATCTCAACATCTAGTGGACTCAAAATGCTACCCAGTCTTCATTTCCACACCTTCAAACAATAAACTATCACAGTCTCTTCATTGGGGCCTTGACTCTGCCAAACAAAAGGCTGCAACAGTGCTGAACTGAAAATTTTGCGTCTTTCTTCTTTCAAGAAAATGTGACATATAGATAATACAGTTAATGGGGTTCTAGCTTTGGATTGACCCTGCCCCACTGAAACAGATCAACAGCAAGTTCTATATATAGTTATGGGGCTGGGGTTCTTGTTCCCTTTTCCTTCTCTATTTACTTGCTTTGCTGAGTGGTACAGTACTCTTGCAACACCTTTTCTATATTTCCAAAGTGGAGCAGGTACCTTCTCTTTAATGGTCCTGAGCTCCCTGACAATTACAGCCTGTTTCGGAACATGACTGCCATCTGAAACCATCTAGTGCTGTTTTTCTTGCCAAACTACACAGGTTTTTATTAATTTCTGCCCCTAATGTTGCTCTTTTCCTCTATGAATCTGCATGAGTCATCAGTAAAGACCAAGCTACAGACTAAATCTGTTGTCAAGACAGTCCATGACTGTTTAATTTAGCCTTACTCATTTTCACAGAACACAGGAAGAATACATACACACAATATGCCAAAATATTACACAAAACATCTATCTTAGTTACTCCATTGTGGCTCTGAAGAAACACTATGACCAAAGTGACTGTTATAAGGCAACGCTTTTTATTTGGGGCTTGATAATACAGACAGAGGATTAGTCCATTATCATCATGAATGTCAGCATCAAAGTAGGCATGCATGGGGCTGAGAATAACTTCCTGATACAGACAGGTAAGCAGAAACACTTGGCTTTGGCTTTTGAAACCTTAAAGCCCACCCACAGTGACACCTTAACAAACCACACACCTACTCCCTCAAGGACATATCTCCTAATTTTACACAATTAGTTCCAGTAATTGGGGACCAAGCTTTTAAAGGTAGGAGCCTGAGGGTCTTGAGCAAATATAAACCATGAAAGAAATATAACCTAAGTAGAAAGAACAGTATAGGAAAAGAATGAAAGAAATTGAGGGGAAAAAGGGAGTAAGAACAAGGGAGAGGGAGAGGGAATGAGAGAGAGAGAGAGAGAGAGAGAGAGAGAGAGAGAGAGAGAGAGACAGAGAGAGAGAGACAGAGAGAGAGAGAGGAACAAAGGGAAGAAAATATTTACCCAAACATGGGGGAGCCAATACTTCTTGCCATGTTATAGGCTTTCTCAATATAACCTTCCCAATTCCATCGAAGAAGAGGTTAAACAATTCGAGACCTCCACACTTAGGTTTAAGTCCCTATTTTTCTCTAAGTGCATAGCATTATCCTTTGTTTCCCTCCCTACCCAGTTCCCTCAGAGAACCTGGCAAACCTTAGATAAGGCAGGGTAGAAGCAATGAAGGCAGTCTCTTGGTGTCTTAAGGGTTACTATTACAGATGGTGCCATCTGGAAGGCGCATTTCTAAATGGGTAGAAGTGCCTCACAAGGCTACTAAGTTTCTAAATTCAATTTCACTATTTTAGCAAGTTGAATTCTGAATGTCTTAAATTCCAGTCAACAGAGAGTCGCAGATCTGTCTGATCACATAATCAACTGGGATAAAATGGGATCAAGCAACATCTTGCATCTGGGGACCGAGGAGAAGGTAAAACATCTGGATGACAATGATTCATTTCCACAGTTACAACCCGTGTAGTAAGATAACACAGGTGAACTCAACTGTCTCAGCTTTAGGCCACAGAATTCTTTTCTCTATTCCTATTTGCTCTGTGGGGACTTCCTCCCTAGGCCATAGTTACTATCTACTGCTACATTCATGCTAACCCAATTAAAGAGTCTTTTAAAAGAAAAGAGTTTAACAGTGCACACTGAAACTTTGAGAAGTGTGGATCCAAGTGGGACTTGTGTCTGATGGAGATGGGCTAGTCTTTGCAGGGAGCTGAACCAACCTCAAGAAGGAAGCAACTCTGTGGTTTGCTGCCACCTTGGCTATAATGTTAATAGTATATTAAGAAAATTCAGAATTTGAGCAATACATTCAATGAAAGTCTAATAAAATGTCTAATAATTTATGCTATCAACAACAGAAAATTGATGGCAAAAGGTCATCATGAATGAAAAAAAAATGATCAACGTAAGATTGAATAAACAGCAAACATAGTGACATCATCTGAATTCAAACCTTCAAATACAACTACCATAAAGATTGTATTGTCTGGGAAAGAATAAAGAGATCAACTGAACATGAGAGCAAACTGACATATGAACACAACTGAAATATAGTCAGTGTTGAACAATGAGACCAGGGAACCCAACAAGTATGGCCTAACACACATGACTGGAACACTGTGGCATTTATATGTAAATATATTAATAACACAGATATTAAGATCTGTACAAAATTAACCTCAGAAGGATCTTACAGCTGCATGTTAAGTGGCAAGTACAGAACTTCAAGAAGATACTAGAAAAACAAGGATTCTGCAAGTTAGCAAATCTGCCTTCCATTGTGATGGTAAAAGTAGCTGACTGGTGCTCATTGCATGGTGAAGCCAATAATAAGCATGTTCTCTCAGAAAGGCTGCTGATTCCTATGCTCAGGAAGGAAGGCATGATAGGAACTCAAACATGGCAGAAACCTGGAAGCAGGACCTGACACACATGACATGGAAGGTGCTGCTTACTGGCTTGCTCACCATGGCTTGCTCAACCTGCTTTCTTATAGAACCAAGACCTCCAGCCCACGGGGGTTGGGGACTCATTCACAATGGGCTGAATACCTCCCAAACCTACAGCTGGATCTTATGGAGGCATTTCCTCAATTGGACTTTCTCCTCTCACATGACTGTAACTTGTGTCAAGTTAACATAAAACTAGCCAGCACACTGATGATTCACCTTAATTGGATTAAACAGAAACCTGAATGAGTGCCCTCTGAAGTGGGAGAGAACAAAAAGGAGCTTCAAGAGTCTATGTTATGCTGGATTGAACTCCTGGGGCAAGAGGAATGTAAATACATTCTGCTGTTAGGACTTCTGTTTGATTAGGCAGTCTTTAGCCCAACTCTTCAGGAGACTTTTAAACAATATATCAAGCCGACTAGTGACACATGCCTGTTATCTCAGCATCCAGACTAGCATGGGCTGCACAGGGAGGTGCAGGAGATCAGGGACAGCAAAGCAGGATTCTGTCTCAAGCACGATGTTTTTCTGAGGTGCTAGAATGGGACCCAGAGCTTAGATATGCTAGGGCAACTATTCTACCTCTGACCCTCCACCCTCCCCCCCAAAAAAAGCACACAGATATACCTTTCTTTAAGGATTGTTGAGATGGGCTCTCACTATATACCAGTAGCTGGCCTAAAACTTTCTATGTACTGTTTGGGAAACAATAAGAAGATCAAGAAAACCTAGAGAAAACTTAAAAATAGAAATACAATTAATATAGAATCAATTTTGACACAGGAGGCCAGAAAACCCTACATGACTGGACCACCCTGTAATCCACATGCAAATGTGTTAATGACACAGACTTTACTCCCTGCACAGAATTAACTGCAGGCGGATCCTGAACTTGAATGTTCAGTGCCCAGTGCAGAACCTCTAGTAGACACTAGAGAAACCAGGGCTCTGAGTTACTGAATCTGCCTTCCAAGGCAAAGATGAAAGTGACGCATGCCCGAGCACTGCACAGTGACGTTAGCAATAAGAACAAATCCACACACAGTCCACCCATCCCCGCGTTCTCCAAAGGCCCAGCCTGCAGATGGAGTTTACTCAGATGCCGCATGACCCCGAGTTGACTGGACAGCAGGGAACCCCGAGTTGACTGTGACCTCACGGAACGCGGCATAAGCCGCCGGTTCCCACAGTCCCAGGAGGACCCTCACACCGGGCTCCGGGACCGCTCCCCACGTGGGGACGGCGGCCCCTCACTCACCATGGCATAGCACGAGCTCGCTGGGCTCTCCTCACAGCGGGCACCAGCGCAGCACGGGAAACACGAAAGTCTCCCTTAGCTTAGCGCCGAGGAACATACACCTTGACGGACCGGAAGCACCCGCCCCCATTCTGACTGGTAGTCCGTTTGGACGCCCTCATTGGCTAATGTGGTCTGAGTGACAGGAGGAGCTCCCTCAGAGATAAAGTCCCGTGAAGGGACACAGCTCTGTGGTTCCCAGCCCTGGCTTCCACCCCAGGCACAGAACTGTCCCAGATCTGCAGAGACCGGCATCTAAGCAGACCTTCAAAGATCTTCTTATTTGTAACGGTCCTAACACTGTTCCAATGTACAAAGTTTCTTCTGAAAATCAAGGCAGTGTCTTGAATGTGGCATCTTGTAAAATCAAAACACAAAGTATATATGCCCAACGCACAATGACCCGGAATACACATTTTCCCTTTCAAATAAATAAATATATATACATATATATATATATTGGAACAAAGCAATACTAAAACCCTGCAAGGCACACACCTGCAGCTCTGTGTAAGACATTTCAAAGGGCTTAGATGGCTCTTTCTCTCTACAACTTCTCAAACTTCTCTCTCTTTGTCTGTTTTCACTACCTTCATGCAGCTTTTCATGGCTGGTGTCTCAAAGCTTGAGTTTCTCACATGTTATGGCCTCAAGATGCAACACAGGCTTCATTATCACGGATTCATGCAATGAACACCCCAGGTCTCCTCACTAGGGATTGGACTTTGCAAAAGAGATGACTGAAACACTGCTGAGCTGAAGCACAGAGGAAGAATCATAACCTTTAAATGCTGCATCATTCTTCTTTCAAGAAAAAGTAGCACAGACCTGGTAACACCACAGGGGTTCTAGCTTTGGATATACCTGGCCCCAGTGGAACAGAGCAGCAGCAGCAGATTCTGTATGACGTTGGTTTCTGGGACTAGGAATCACCTTGCCCTTTCCTTCCATAGTTAAATGCTTGGCTGGGTGGGCAGTGCCTTCTCTGTATTTCTAAGGAAGAGCAGGTGTCTTCTCTCTAAAGGCCCTATTCCCCCTGATAATTACCGTCTCTGTTTCATCATCATATGACTGCCCTCTGTTTTTCTTTCCAAACCACATTAAGTTTCATTAATTTGTGCCCCTATTGATGCCCTTTTACACTATGGGCCTGCATGAATAATCAATAATAAATGTGCCATGACTATATGATTTGTCAAGACAGGCCATTACTCTTTAATTCAGCCAGCCATATTCAATATCACAGTACATGGCCACAATACAGAAAAATAATACACCAAAATATTACACAGACAACCTGTCTTAGTGACTGTTTTATTGCTATGAAGAACCATTATGAGCAAGGCAACTTTTATAATGATAGGGTGCTAATTTGGGCCTTGATTCCAGTGACAGAGGCCACATAGTCAGACACCAAGTAAGAGTGAAAGTAAGATATACATAAGAAAAGGAAAAAGCCAAGAGGCAAAAGGTAGATGGGATAATTTAAAGTTAAGAAACGCTGGCAAGAAACATACCAAGCTAAGGTTGGACATTTATAATTAATAATAAGCCTCCATGTGTGATTTATTTGAGAGCTGGGTGGCAGGGCCTCCAAAGAACAAGGAGCCAAAAGAGTGAAAAACAGCCAACAACAGGTCTTAAATTCCAGCCAGTAGGGATGATCATAAATTTGTCTGTCCCAAGCCCAGTCCGTATCTGCTGGGACAAAATCGGGGCAAGAAAGATCTTGTGCCAGGATACTGAGAAGGTAAAACACATGGATGACAACAGTCAGCTTCCACAGTTACAATCTGTGTGGCAAGATATGGATGGAATCAATTGTCTCTGGTTGAAGGCATGGAATTCTTTCTGATGTGGATTGGTCCTCAAGACGCACATGGTAGAAGAGGACTGGGTCCCACAGGCTGCCATCTGACTTTTGAATTGTGCCATGTGTGTGCACACATAATGAGGAGAATGATAAATTAAATCTTAAGAGAAATATTAAGGGCTAAAGGGATGGCTCAACAGTCCAAGCACTGGCTGTACTTGCAGAGGTCTCAGGTTTGTTTTCCACCACTCACATATGGTTTATGTACGTAACTCCAAGTTCCAGGGAACACAATGTCTTCTTCTTGCCTCTGGATCAATACTTGAGTATGAGTTCTGTCTTTCTATCATTTTGGGTAAGAACTCTGGTCAATAGGATTGGCAGCAAGCCACTCTGTCAACTTGTCCATCTCGTTGGTTCTAATTATACATTTTGAGAAATATGGGAGTGTATGTTCACAGGGTGTGTGACTGGTAAATCTGCCTATGTGTGACTTCTAGATTTACATGGGAGGGACATGTGCAATGTGTGCCTCTGCGTGTTTGCCATCTTTGCATGTGGGTGTGTTTGTAGAATTCTGCATGGGTGTGTGGGGTTGTGGACTTTGGTGTGCTGTGTTGTGGGTGCACCATGATGCCTGTGTGAAGCTATTGAATGTCAATGTCCCCCTGGCACTGATGGTGACTCTGTCCCAATTAACAAGTCCCACAACCTCTCTCAGTTCCACTCACTCCCTTCCTGGTCTTTCCCATTGCTTTCTCTGGTCAAGTCATGCCTGCTTGCAGCTAGCTTTTTTTCTTTGCTGTGGCACTGCCCACAATTTCTCCCATCTTTTTGCCAACACTGGCACCACCCACTGTGAAGATGGCCCTGCCCTAACCCTGTCCCTGACCTACACTGGTTTTCCTCACACTTCTATCCCTATCCAAGTCTCAAACCCCACCAAGCCTCTGTCTCCTCCTCTGCAGCAGCACACTAACATCCTGGGCCCTTCTCCTGTGGTGCTGCCCCTGGACCTTGCCCACCATCAGGAGGCTTATAGTTGCATACGTTGCAACAGACAGCATTGTAGAAGGCATAGCAACCATAAACATCTGGGCAATTTCTTCATGTAACTTGGTTGTACCTTCAGGACTTGGTCCTGGCATGATGCTTTATTTGATAATAGATGTGTTAATAGCTGCAGTCTCATGATGGGCAGCTCAGCTTGCATGGTAATGACCAGGCCCATTTTCAAAGGTTCAGTTTCTACTAAAGCACAAGAGCAGGCTAAAAACTGACTCTCAAATGGAGAATAGTTATCTGCAGATAATGGTAGAGTCTTGCTCCAAAATCCCAAAAGTCTCTTCTGTGATTCAACTATAGGGGGCAACCATGGGCTTCAAACAGCATTCCAATCTGCTACTGACACCTCAAGTGCCATCGGGTTTTCTGGATCATATGGTTCAAGTGCTACAGCAGCTTGGACCTGTTGAAGACCTATTTCCTGTTCTAGGCCACACACAATTCCATGTCACTTGGTATATGAACCAGGGTAACAAACCCAAGTGAGGAATGTGCTGTCTCAAGAATCCAAAAAGACCCACTAAACACTGTGCTTCTTTCTTGCTTGGGAGAGGGGAAGATGCAATAACTTATCCTTCACCTTAGAAGGAATGTTTCTGCATACCACTGGACACCTATGAATTTCAGTGATGTAGAAGGCCCTTGAATTTTTGTTGAATTTATATCCCATCCTCTAATGTGAATATTTGTTACCAATAAGTTCAATGTGGTTGCTACTTCCTTCTAATTTTGTCCATTCAATATAATGTCATCCATATAGTGCAACAATGTGATATTTGTGGAAGAGACACATGATCAAAATCCATTCAAACTAAGTTATGACGCAGGGCTGGAGAGACAACATATAGTTGAAATAAACTTTAGAGCTGTCCTGCTGGCCTTACCAACTGAAAGCAAATTGCTTCTGGTGGTACTTTTGGACAGATACTGAGAAAAAAAGCATTTGTTAGATCAATAGCTGTATACTATGTGCCAGGAGATGTGTTCATGTGATCAAGTAAGGACATCACATCTGATACAACAGCTGCATTTGGAGTCACTACCTAATTGAGTTTTAATAGTCAACTATCATTCTTCATGATACATTGGTTTTCTGGGCTGGATAGGAGAGTTAAAGGGAGATGTGGTGGGAATCACCATCCTGCATCTTTCAAGTCCTTCATGGTGGCAATTATTTCTGCAATTCCTCTTTGGATGCAATATTAATTTTGATTTACTATTTTCCTTGTCAGAAGCAACTCTTAAGGCTTCCATTTAGCCTTCCCAACCATAATAGCCCTCACTCCACAGGTCAGGGAACCAATGTGAGAATGAATTCTGCCAACTTCTAAGTGTATGTATCTCATTTACACATTCTGGGAATGGGAAAATAATCACAGGATTAATTCAGAGACCCACTAGACCTACTGTAAGTTGGACTTCAGCCAAAACTTCATTAATTACCTTTGCTAAGCCCCTACTTTAACAGAAGGCCCATAACATTTCTTGAAATCTTTCAATAGCAGTGTCCAATAGACTGCAAGAAGTTTGATTGTTTCCTTTCCCCCAGTGTAGAATTATCCTTTAAAAGGCCATAGGTCCCTCCAGAAGTCCGGAGGAAGGCTAAGAGTAAAACTTTCAGACATTTTATCAAGGTCCTTCCTCAGGGGAACTTTACCATCCCTTCATTCAAGGGGTATTGGATCTTAAGTCTGTCTTAAGTCTGAAACAGTTTCCCAGGCTGAGATTCACATTTGCATGATCCAATACAGCTTTTCTTTCATTAGTGTGAGAATTTTTCTGCTTATTCAAATAAAACAAATTCAGTCAGTTTCTTATCTATTTCATACCTGGGAATACTATGATTTATTATCCAGTAACAAAAGGTCAGTATGAGTCATGTCATCCTAAAATTCATTTTGCCTTGCTGACCATAATGATAACTACAATCACCTTGTCTTTGGCAATTCAGCACTGCTACCTGGCCCTGATACCTCAGGACCCAATTACACCCATTGCATTTAATTCATCCAGTTGATCAGCAGTGTCTCCAACCCTAAGGTCTGGAACAGGAAAGGGGGCAAGTGAAGCTCTTCAAATGTTCTGATATCCCTCTCACCATTTTTGCATCATATAAGATTAGTGAAGGGGATGTCCTCTGGGGCTTCCCCTTGTGGAGGATTAGGTTTACCCACTCTAGCACTGCAGTTTCCCTGAGTCTTAAAATCCATTCACCAACACTAAG